CATAATCAAGCTGTCAAAAGTCAAGTCAAAAAAAAAAAAAAATCTTCCACGCAGCATGAGAAAAGTGACCCGTCATATACAAGAGAGTTTCTATTAGTGTCAGAAGACTTCTGAGAAGAAACACTGCAGGCTAGAAGGGACTAGGATGGTATATTCAAAATGCTAAAACCAAAATTACCAATGAAACAAGAATACCTGGCAAGAGAGAAGTTAAGACTTCCCAAGATAAGAGCTGAGTGAGTTCAGCACCAGGTGTCTTACTGATAAAGTCCTTCAGCTTGAAGTGAAAGAATGATAAATAGCAACAAACACTACAAAAATATAAAGCTCCCTGGCAAAAGTAAATATACAGACAAATATAGAATCCTGTAGTAAGGTAATACAGTTGCATAAGTCATTTTAAATCTTATACAGAATTTTTAAAACCAAAAGCATAAATGTAATCACAAATCTATTGTTAACAGATGAGCAATGTAAGAGAGGTAATTGAGACAAAGAATAATAAAAGGCAAGGGGACAGATGTAACGAAGTATGAATTTTATACTGAAGTTAAATTATCAGTTTAAATAACTTTAAGAGGTTATAACTTTAAGAGGTTTTGTGATTGCAGTGATACCACAAAGAAAACAGATATACACAAAGAGGAATGAGAAGGGAACCACCGCATATTATTATAAAAATCAATAAAACAAAAAAGAAGACAGCAAGGATTTTAAAAATGATCAACAAAATGGATAAAACTCTAGGTTGAGTGACTAAACAAAAAAAATGAAGACTCAAATAATTAAAATTGGTAATGAAAAGGGGAGCTACTTGGAGGCTGAGGCAGGAGGATTGTGAGCTCACGGACAGCCTGGGCAGCAGAGCAAGACCCCGCCAGTAGAAAAGGAAGAAGCAGAGAAGCAGGAAGAAGCGGAGAAGCAGAAAAAAGAAGAGAAAGAGAAAAAAAGAGGAAGGATGAGGAGGGAAGTGATGAGGAAGGGGAGAAGAGGGGAAAGGAAAAATGAAAGAGGGCATTACAACTGGTAAAAGGGTTATAAAGATGACCAGTAATAATTATATGCCAACAAACTGGATAACCTAGAATCGTCAGGTAAGTCCCTACCAAGACTGACCATGGAGAAATAAAAAGTTGAACACACTTAAAACAAGGAGATTAAAGCAGTAATAATGAAAAATAAAATAAATGAATCTAAAAGAATATCTCCCCGCAAAGAAAAGCTTAGGACCAGAGAACTTGACTTAGGAGTTCTGCTAAGCATTTAAAGAATTGACATCAATTTGTCTCAAACTTTCCCAAGGAACTGAAGCAGAGAGAACACTTTCAAACACCTTGAGGTCAGAACCAAAACCTTTCCCTCTAAGATCGGAACCAAAAGGGAGCCCATTCTCACATCACAATTAGTCATACTAGCTAGACCATTTTGACAAGAGGAGGAAATAGGCATTCAAATTAGAAAAGAAATACCCCTAGCATTATCCACAGATGAAATGATTTTATATAGAGAAAAATCTAAAGAATAGATTAAAAATCATACAAATAAATGATTTCAGAAGTTTCAGGATACAAAATCAACACACAAAAATCATATTTCTGTCTACCAACAATGACCAACGCAAAAAGAAAAACCATCCCATTTCCTAAAGCATCAAAAAGGATAAAACATTTGGGAATAAACCTAATAAAGGAGGTAAAAGAACTCTGGTAAACTACTGGTAAACTCTGGTAAACATCACTAAAAGAAATCAAAGAGGATAAAAATAACTGCAAAGACAGCCAGGCACTCGTGGTTGGTGAGACTTAGTATTAAAATGTCCGTGCCACCCACAACAATCTACACCTTACAAGATCCCTGCCAAAGTTCTCATGAGATTTTTCACAGAAATAGAAAAACAAATCTCAAAAAGATAAAGAATAAATAAAGAATCTCAAAGGATCCCAAATAGCCAATCTGGAAAAAGAACAGAGTAGGAAGTCTCATTCTTCCCGATTTCAAAGCAATGGTGATCAAATCAACATGGTACTGACATAAAGACAGATACATATCTGCTTACCTAGGTAGGTAGGTAGAGACACACACACACACACACACACACACACACACCCCAATTAGATGGAATAGGGAACCCAGAAATACACCAATGCATACATGGCTAAATAATTTTCCACAAAGGTGTCAAGAATATACAATGAGGAAAAGATAGTCCTTTCAACAAATAATTCTGGGAAAACTGGATATTCACATGAAAACAAATAAATTTGGACCCAAACTTTTTACTATATTCAAAAAAAAATTAACTCAAAATGGATTGGACTTCAACCAAGGAGCTAAAATTATGAAACTCCTAGAAGACATAGGGGAAAGCTTTAGGCACTGGATTTAGCATCTGTACTTTGGATATGGCTTCAAAAGTCTAGATAAAAAATCAAAAGTGGAGAAATGAGACTATAGCAAATAGAAACTTTTGTATGTCAAAGGAAACAACATAGCGGAAACTCCACAATCAAACTGGAAAAAATATTTGCAGATCTTCTAAAAAGGGTTACTACCCAGAATGTTTAAAGGAATGTTAACAAGGAAAAATCAAATAACCCAGTTAAAAATGGACAAAAGATTTAAATAAATATTTCTTCAAAGATCACACAGATGGAAAACAAGCACATTAGCTAATGCTCAACATCATACATTATGAAGGAAATGAAAATCAAAACCACAACCAGATGCGACCACATCATTAGAATGACCAAGAAGAAAATAACAAGTACTGGTGAGAAGGCAGAGAAAATGAGCCCTGTGCGCTGATGGCAGGAATGTGAACTGGCACAGCCACCATGGAAAATACTATGGCGGTCCCTCGAAAAATCAGAAATGGCACAATAATGACTCATCAACCCACTTATAGGTATATAGCCAAAAGAATCCCAACAAATTGTGGAGAGAGAGGTACTCACTCCAGTTCACCACAGCATCATTCCCAGTAACCAGAGCTGGAAGCAGGCCAACAGATGAACTGACGTGAAAATGCGGCTCAAACACACAATGAACATCATGCAGCTCTAGAACAGAAGTCCTCCCTGCCACATGCTGCAACAGGTGACTCCACTAGCATGGAGCACCTAGAACCGTCAAAGTCACAGAACCACAGGTAGCAGGAGGTGACTAGGAACATGGGGAAAGGACAGTAACTGATGTTTTTGGATAGAGTCTCTGTAGGCTTTGCAAGGTGAAAAGGTCCTAGAAATCTGTTGCACAACAATGTAAAACACTTCACACTACCGAACTGCACTCTCAGGGAAGGTGCAGATGGTAAATTAACGTTATGTGTTTTTGCCACAGACTAAAAGGGGCTGTATTAAATGGTATAAGTATAAGCACAAACCGTAAAGAACGACAGCCTGGAAGCAGGCAACCAACGCAAGCTCATAGCTGCCACTGTCACCATAGCTTACTCACCACTCCTCAGGAAACACTGTCTTACTACTCTCTCTCTCATCCCCATCCTACCCTTAATTTCTTAAATAATTTTTCTTCCTAGGCTCCACCAAAAAAAAAAAAAAAAAGGCATTAAGTTTCCATTAATTCTCTCCTAGGAGCTAAACTGAAAAAAATAAACTTTAAAAGCAACATAAGGACACTTTAAAGTTCCCTATATCAAGTTCTTAACTGTAAGGTACATTGTATACATTGGCCACAGAACAAAATAGCCAGGTTCAACAATAATATTGGGATTTACAAAAATGAAATGCTTTCCTTACTATTTTGAAATTAAGACTTCTCTAAATCTAGGATGTCATGTTTTGACACACAAAACTCAGACACTGTTGTATTCTAACTGTTGTATTCTAACTGTATTTATTCTTTACAGTTCTTATTTCGTGAACTAAGAGTAAATCAAGTTGAATGCAGCTGATTGCTATGGTTTGGATCTTGAGATCCCCACAAGGGGGTTTATCCCTGGAGAAGCACTACTCAGAGGTGGTTGTGGAGCCTGTAATGTGGGGACGTGGGGGAACCCTCTCTCTTGATTTCTAGCCAGGAGATGAGCAATGCTCCCACCGTGATGTGCTCCTACCACCGGCCCAGAAGCAACAAAGCCAACTGACCATGGGCTGGCATCTTCAAAACCGTGAGCCAAAATAAACCTTTTCTCACTATAAGTTAATGACCTTAGGCTTCTGTTATAGCCAAATGTCCAAGAAGAGAAAGTCTGACCCCAATGTGAGGTCTTCCAATGGGAGGCTATGCTGTTTCCTTCTCTCTTCTTCCCCTATCCCCCATCACTTCCTTTCTGATTCCAGAACTAGAACCTCTTCTTGCTGTCCTCATCAAAATCTTCTCACCAGAAAGGACCTAATAAACTTTTACAGTAAAAAATAACAGCAGCTAGGTTTAGTGTGCTATGCTTCAGAGTATTTGCATTTTGAACAAGGAATAAACTCTCTTTTTGGTTAAAGAAAATAACCTATCATTAAGGAGAATTAAATTTGAAGAAATAAGAGCTTCTCAGAATTCTTTGCTATTGCCTACCAGGTTAACAAACCCCACAACAGTGCAGGATTCTTCTACTTGAATATCATTAGGGACACAATGCTTTTTTTTGTGGGGGGGGGTGGCATTTAAATTTATTATCTTCAATATAAATGTAACTGTATTGTGGCTTTCAAAAAGATTTACTCTACCATGAAACCACTCAAAAAAAATGTAACAGTGGAGAGAGGAAGGAGGAGAGAAGATGGAGGAATGGAGTTCAGAGGAAGAGAGACATAGTGAGGTTGCCCCTCCACACGGGAGCTGGGGCCACACTTGGTACACTCGGGAACCCCAGAGCCCACGTCCTCAACCGCCATGGGGATCCTGCTCTCTCTGAGATATAATTAGGACTACACAGATCTGAGGAGGGCTGTGCTTCCAAAACCTCCTGCTTTAATGAATATATACCCTTGATAACACTTCTTCTTTAGAAGCATGAAAAACATTAAAGGAAAAGCCACTCTTACCTGAATGTAATATATGCCCTTTTCCTGAGCATACATCATTAGAAAACAGTAATCTAAGTTTTGCTTTGTTCTCCATCTGAAACAAATAGTTTCAAAAATAGGTTAGGAATCACACTGAAATTTCACAAAGTAAGATTAGATGTATAAGCCTCAAGTTTTCTATTATAATACAAGAGTCAAAGAAAATTCTCTTTTCTCTAATGCAGCATTAAATACACCAAATACATTCCTAAGAACACCAATCTTCAAGGTGTCCTGAAGAAAAAAAGGTCAAGTGAGTTTGGGAAAAACCGTGCACATATTTCTTTCCTGGAGATATGCTAGTACGTTAGAGACACTGAAACATCTAGCAGCAAAAACATTTGCTGAGGAAAACTTTTTTTTTTTTTAAACCATGCTGGGGATCAAACCCAGGGCATCACGTATACTAGGCAAGTGCTCTACCACCGAGCTACATCCACAACCCAAGAAAAAGAAATTTTAATCCAATATTTTCCAAACCTCCTTGACCACATAAAATGTTCAAGTAACATCTGAATGTCTTGATGAACTAATCCTTAGATAAATCATACTTTAGGGAACTCTGGTACCTAGGACTGTGTTTTACATACAGGTACAGATTAAAAAATGTGTATTGAATACAGGTACAAATAAATAAATACATATTTAATGTTAAAAAATTAAATGTAGAATATTTAGACCTTTCAGTGAATTCCTGGCAGCCTATAGAAACACACTAAAAATGTATAACAGAAGTGATTCCAAAAGCCAGCTTAAGGAAAACACAGTAAACTAAAAGCTCATACTAAGAAAACTTCCAGAATACATCTCACAAGCTGCCCTAGGCTTCATGAGATGATCTTGAGTATGTTAGCAAATCCAGCCCTAAAATTTTTGCAGGTTTGATTGACAGAAACCACATTTATTAACTCCCACACTCACAGAATGGAAGACTTTAAAGGACACTCAGCTCACCTCACTCTTTCTTTTGAGTCTCCAAACGTCTCCTTTAGGTTTGTCAAGTCAGGGTAATAGCTTTCAGGGGGTGATATTACTTCCACCAGGCCAGAACTGATTTCTTTAGAAAATCTGCCATGAGAAAGGTAAGCTCAGTTATTGAAGCTCTGTGAGATTTTATTTATCTTAACATCCAATTTAGCACATTTTACATAAAACACACCAGAGAACATGTGTAGCAGGAATAATGTGATGGTCAAAATGTGCTAAATGAAGCTGCTTATCACTGAGCTTATTTATCTGAAAACACAGGTTTTTCTAGTAGCACAAGGTTTGGGGTTTTGTTGTTCTTGCTCTTAATACTGCTTTAAAAAAAAAAAAAAGTATAAAATGCCATTAACCTTAGAGTAACAGAAAGCCCAGGAGAACTGTAGTCTTACATTCCTACAGCAATTGGAATATTAAAAAAAAAAAAAAATCAAGGTCCCACAGAAAGTAGGGAAATAAAGGAAAGAAAACAGATTAATTTCTGTATGCATCTAAATACATATACTTGTGCAAAATTCAAAGTTCTTCAATTTTCCAGAAGTTGTAGGTTATAGATTATGTCACTCCAGGCCGGTGCTTCTCAACTTGGGTGATTTTATCCTTCCTGAGACATCAAGCAACATCTGGAGGCATTCTGGCTGTCATTACTATGGGAAATACTATTAAAAATACCTGTCAAACGTACTCTGCCCAGGTCAGCCCTGACAACAAAGAATTACCTAACCACAAACATTAATAGCATTAAGCTGGAGAAATCCTTTTCTGAAGTTTTAAATCAGTCTGCATGTATACAAATGTAATTTCTCCACATCTGCATTCTTCCTCATTTTTGCAAATCTCCAGAAAATGCTTATGTAACTACCTGCTTTTGCACAAATGTTCTTAGTGTTTGACTGAGCTTTGTTTCTGGCCTTGGTTTTCCTGCACATTGAGGAAGAAGTAAGTCAACAGAATGACTGCACCAGCCCACCACAGGCCTGCCCGTTTGGTCTAGGGGAAGGGAGACCAGTTATTAATTACTGCCCTGTTCCTTCATTTAAGGAGTCCACATATCAAAGTCCATTTCTACAAAGAATGTCAAGAACTTTAGCACTTGAGGAAAATCTAACAAATGATAAATTTAATCCTGAACTATGCGTAATATTTTTTAAATCTCCAGGTTTAGCATTTCAATGGACAAAGTATCATATTATTTTAAATAGAGAGCTAGCAAATAATTGCAACTTCTCTGGTCTTTAAGCAGATACAATTCAACGAAGAAACCTATGTCAAGACTAGTTTTTATGATATCATTATTAAAACTACTAAAGCAATACTGTAAAAACTAATAACAGGCTTCCCGCCTGTTACCTGGTTCGTGCCCTGCATACTGCAGGATCAGGGGGCCAGACACAGCTCAGCGCTGAGGCCTGAGATGCTACATGAAGATATGCCCGGCAGCCTGTCTATTTAATCGAGGGTGAAAGACTTAAATAATCTCTTAAGGCTATCTTCACTGCCTTCATGAACAAATATTTATTTGATAATGTTACACAAACCACATTCAAATCTCTTCTATACTGAAATACACCAATTTATTCCAGCAGATAAATGAACTTAAACACACCTGCTTTATGAGAATGTAAAAGACAATGGTAGGAGGTCTAATGAACAATGATCTCCAGAGGGAGATTAACTATCAAGGCAGGTGCTTTCTTTTAGCAAAAAGCCAGAGACAGCAGTAAACTAAAATATTTCCATTTCCTAATAAAGAAGGACTTACTCTTTCTCCAGGTTGGCCACAACACTGTGGACATAATCAATATCTGTCTGGGAAAGAAAAAAATACCAAAATTCATATTTGTATTCGACCTTTTTATATTTTTATATTTTTATTTAACTTTTAATACTGAACTCAAAATTAGACAAATGACAAAACATGCAGCAAAAACATTAAATTTTCAGGCAACTTGAGGGATTTGCATTTCTGATTTTATTGTATTATTGTGCTATTCAATATCACTAAATACTTCATACAGTGAGCAGATTTGTAAGTGTTTATTCTTTCCAATTGCCTACACTCGATCAACAGGAAACTGGGCACAGAAACTATTCCTACTTCTCTGGAAACACCCAGACCCTAAGTAGTGGGCAGAGGCACCGACAGATGCAGCCTGCTGACAAGATTCCAAAATGGAAAAGTCTTTCTTAACACTTAGGGTCAAGATTTGCCTCTGGTGCTACTGGACAGTATCATCTGAAGTTACTTCTCTGAATTTAAGTTTCCTATTCTATGAAAAGAAAAAAAAAGTGGGAGAAAAATTAAGACCCCAGAGATGACAAGTTTAAATGATAAAACTGAAAAGCATGCAATGCAAAGATGTGCTGGGCTTCTGGGGACCCCTGTGAAGAAAGCCGCACCTCTGACCAACCCAGAAGCATCTGGCCAAGCCACCCGGGTCTCTGCCAGGTACTCTCCTTGCTCCTCTCCCACTGGTTGGCAGCAAAGACAGGTGGTCACTGAGCTCTCAGGGCCTGCTTACTTTTAGAGAAAAATTTTTCCTGATTATATTTTTTAAAGGCACATAGATTTTTTTTAAAGGTAGTATTACTACCCAATTCTGAGAATAAGTCTGTGAGTCTAAAATGAATACACAGATTCTTAAGTAAAAAATGCTCTTTCTTTAGAATCAAATGTTTGTCTTGGTTAAGTAAAATTAAGAGCTGGGCTGATATATGCTACAATGAGATGAACCTTGAAAACACCATGCTAAGTGGAAAAGCCGGTTGCAAAGGACTACATAACGTGCAACTGCTTTTATATGAAATATCCAAAGACAAGTATCTGCAGGGACAGAAAATAGATTATCGGTTGCCTAGAGCTGGGGGAATAGGAGGATGACTGGGTAATGGCTAAGAGTTTCTCTATAGGGTGAGGAAAATGTTCTGAAGTTGACTGAGGTGATGGCTGCCCAACTGTTTTAGTAGGTGGATTATACATTTTGCGAATTACTTTTAAAAAACAGAATAAAGTTAAAGGCATAAAAATTAAGTATTTCAGGTTGTATACCTGGATCTAGGTCACTCAGCTTCTCTTAGAGACACATGGAAAAGTTGGATACATATGTTAACATGAGCCCAGAGGAGATGGTGTCAGCAAGGAGGCAAAATCATAAGCCTCAGGCTTCACCCCATTACAGAAAGCTCAACTAACAACTACCCACAGACCTGAAAACCCTACTACTTGAAAACAAGCATGAGACATGCTGCTGGTCGGCCGAACTGAGGACAGAGGATAAGAAAGAATGGTCCCACCACTACCACGGCACTCATGGAGAGAACGTCCTAGGGCCCAGGGTGTTTACTGAGGAAGGAGAACCAGGGACAGTCATCCAGCTTCCTGAGCATCCAGAGACGCATCCCACTCTAGTCTCACCTCGTGGGCAACACTGGAGATATGGCACAGCTTGACCACCAGGAGCCAGGAAAGGAGGCAAAGAGCACAGTGACCAGCACACGAGCCCTGGTGGTGGCACCTCTGTGCTTCTACCACCCATGTTGGGTGACTAGAGTTATAAGACAACTACAGAGCCCGTCCACAAAGCTGAACTGGTTGCCTTCAGCAGCACAGCGGGAAGTTCAACCCAGCTTGCGTCCCTACATGGCCAGCCTCCAGCCCAGCCTCACAGCCCACTCCAATGACCCTAAGTCCAACACCCACCTCCGACATTTCAGAAAAACATGGGGCTAGACCTGCTTGACTCAGGAAGTGAAGTGTTGGCCAAAATGCCCCAAAGATCCTGTCTAGATAGGGTCTACACATTGTGGAGAAGCTCAGAGGGTAAAGCTATTTGACCCAGGAGGTCAAACAGTCTCTCAACTCAACCAAAAGCCCACTCCATGGCACCACTGTGATAAGGAAGCAATCCTCAATCATGCATTTCCAAGGAGCATAACCTCTGACCCCACTAATCCAGAAAAGCAATGTTGCCTAACCTTGGAACCTGTATTCCTGCCCAACTACAGATCCTAAATAGTGGAAATGCCTGACCAGGGAAGACATCCTCTGACTGGCCTGACCAGAAGCCATCACACTATGCCAGGATCACATCCAACTAGAGAGCTCACAGAAGCTCTGCCTCTATAGGAGCTTCACCAGTTGGCCCCCTAGAATCACAGGCTAAATAGTGAAGGATGGGCCCTGCCAAAGAATGCCTGCGCAGGCCAGAAGAGGGAGCTGTCTCCTCAAAGGTACACAAAGTAATGCTAGGACACAGTGATTACAAGCAGGGAATTATAACACCTCTCTCTCTCTCTCATATATATATATATATGTATATATACATATATATATATATACATATATATACATATATATACACATACATATATATATACATATATATACATATATATATATACATATATGTGTGTGTATATATATGTGTGTGTGTGTGTATATATATGTATATGTATTATGTGTGTGTGTGTATCTAACAGACCTCCAATAACAGACCCTAATGACATGGCAATGTATGAAATGACTGATATTCAGTGAACCACAAAAATATAGGGCTAGAAAACCAAATGTAATTTGGAAAGCAATACATACACAAGCAAATTTGACAAAGGAATAGAAACAATTTTTTAAAATAATTAAGCAGAAATCCTAGAAATGAAGAATGAGTGAACTAAAATTTTCAACAGAAAGCTATGACAACTGACTTGATCAAGCAAAAGAATCAGTGAGTTAAAAAGAATTTGAAATTACTTGGACAGAGGAACAAAAACAAGGAAGGAAGGAAGGGAGAAGGAGAAAAGGAGGGGAGGAGGAGAGGGAGGGAGGAAGGAAAGGAGGGTGGGAGGGAAAGAAAAGAAAGGAAGGAAAAGAAAGTCGGGAAGTCTATGTGAACTACAGGAGAACCTCAAGAGGCCAAATCTGCATGTAACAGGAGCTGCAGAAGCTGAAAGAAAGAGGAAAAAAGGCCAGAAAGTATGAACAGCAGAGAAATCCCCTAATCTGGGGGTAGATGCCAACAACCAGGTACTGGAAGTACAAAGCTCTCCAATAAATTTAACCCGAAAAGGAGCTCAGCAAGACACCAAGCAATCAAAATCAAAGACAAAGTTCTCACAGCAGAAAGGCCACATCTAGGGGAAGCAATACCACTATCTCCAGATGTCTCCACAGAAACCCTGGAGGACAGGAAAGGAGAATGATATATTCAAAGCACTGAAAGGGAAAAAAAATCACCAACCCAGAATACCTTACCCAACAAAGCTGTCTTTCAAAACTAGATAAATAAAAACTTCCCTTGACAAACACAAACTAAGGGAGTTCACCACCCGACTTTAAGGAACTCCCTAGGTAAAGGGAGTTTTTAAGCTATAACAAAAGACCTCTAAGTAGCCCACAAAGCATACAAAATTATAAAACTCAATGGTCTAAGGAAAAGAGCCATAATCAGAATACTCTAGACAATGACAGTGTATATAGCAAGTCTGTTCCTAGCAAGAGGGTTAAAACACAAAACCACTCATATTTACAGGAGCAGAAATGAATTAAATTGAAACAAAAAAAAATTAAAAATCAAAGAAACAAAAAGTTGCTTCTTTGAGAAAAAATATAAATTTTCATACAAAAAACATAAAATGTTGGGGGAGGAGTAAAGGCAGAGCTGTGTGCAGTCAGCTTGAAACAGGCTGTTGCAGGCTTAAATTGCTCTGTGTAAGCCTCACAAAGCAAAGCTCTTCAGTGGGAGCACACAACCAAAATAGAAAGTATTCAAAGCATACCAGCACATCACAGCAGAGAGGACAACAGCAAGAAAGGAAGGAAGCACTACAGGCGACCAGAAAGCGATTAGCAAATGGCAATCACTAAATAGTGAGTCCTTACCTATCAGTAAGAACCTCGCATGTAAATGGATTAAATTTTCCAATAAAAAGACAGTGACTGACTGGATTAAAAAATAATAACCAAGACCCAATTCTATGCTGCCTGCAAGAGAGTCAATTCACTTTTAAGGAGACACACACAATCTGACAGGGACGGAAAAAGATTTCTCAGGGAAACCAAGGAAGAGATGTGTTTTTACATCAGACAGATAAGACTAATAAACTACAACAACATTCTATAATAAGGGGGTCAATTCATACAATTGTAAATATATCTGCACCAACATCAGAGCACCTAAATATACAAAACGAACATCAAAGGCTCTGAAGGAGGGAGAGTGTGAAACTGAAGAGTGACCCTGAAGACCTGCCACTGTGGCTGCTCAGATTTCAGGCTCCCTGAACTCTAGGAACTCCTGGCTGTCCTTTTACCAGCCGTGGCCTGATTCAGCCAACACTGAAAGGTGTCATTTTCTGGGTAGTACTCTCCCCTCTGGACCTCTGCTCTGCAGTCTCCAGCTTCTCTGTTTGGTGCCCCTTCTGCATACAGAAATATGTTTCATTGGGATAGAGAAATATGTCTCTAGGCAGAAAACTGGGACAATCATGGTGCTTTCCCTCTATCTCAGGCAGCCACATCCTGTGTAGTCTGCTGTCCAGTGTCCGAGAACAGTTGATTCACCCACTTTGTCCGGCCTTCTACTTGCTGACATCAGGAAGATAAGTCCAGTTATTGCTAACTCCACCACACTGAGAAACAGACGTCATTTAACATAACAAGGAACCACTGAGAATTCCAGAAATATAATGTGTACATGTGACAGATCAGCAGGATTCAAAGGAAAGGGATGTGTCAAAATGGTGCTGGCAGCTCACAATAAATTTTATTTCCCTAGGATCCAAGGAAAAGCTATTACTACCCACCTAATGCT